GAAAATTTTGACCACGTATCATGCTGATTTCTCTAGAAAAGAATTTCACTCTCTATAGAGAACCAGGAAGTCAGAGCCCAGAATCCATTTCAAGTTAGCAAATATTTAATGAGTGTGTATTTTGTTTCAGACACTGGGCTACAGTTCTGAAAATGCCAAAGGAATAAGTCAGCTCCCTGAACTTAAGGAGTTCCCAATTTTGAATGGGATAGTAGAAATCATACTATAAGAAAAACTATTACAGAGAGCTGGGAAGAGAAACGATCAGATAGGTTTTGGAAAGATAGCATTCTGGTTATGTGGAAGATGGGTTTTAAGGTGGGAAGAGGTTAAATGCAGGAAAACCAGTTGGGAAGGAATTGCAGTACTCCCTCAGAAAACATTGCTGGCAACCTGAACTAGGAATGGCAGGGAGGATGAAAACAGTCTTAGCTGAGTGGGTTTCAGGTTGTGAAGAGAGTCTGAAAACCTCTGAGGCTACTGTCTTGGGCAGCTGTGTGCATACTGCTAAGAGAGACAAAGCTGGAGGAAGGGCTTTTTGCTCTTGATTTCAAGATGAACATACCCATTAGACAACTGGAAATGTGGAATCGGAGTGCAGAAGAAATATCTAGGCTGGAGCTATGGATCTGAGTGTTATCTGTGTTTAGATACCATTGGCATGGATGTGACTTCTTGTAGAGAACAAGCATATAGAGAAAAGTGCAAAGTAGAGATCCCTTTGGAACATGGTCACTTAAGAAATGAGCCCCCCAATTTTTTTTTAGCCTGTGAAAGAGAAGGAAGATGGGTGGTCATGAGAACAAGAAAACAGAGAAGCAGGAAGTGGTATCTTGGAAGCCAGAAGAGAGTTTCGAGAAAGATTGGGGTGGAGACCAATGCTAGAGGCTGCTATAGTTAGGGTTCCCTCAAATAGGATTTATGACCCTGAAGGCCAATTTCCAATCCTGATGAGAACCACAAGTTCTGTAGCACATGTATTTGACTTTATTAAATACTGTTCTATTCTGGAGATGGAGACAGGGAGTCTGAATCCTTGTCCCAGTTCTCTGACCTTCTTGCCAGGTGACTTTGCCAAATTATTAACTTCTTGAGCCTCAGTTTTCTCATTTGTAAAGTGAAAGTGTAATTGTTTTAAGTTCCTCTGGCTTTCAGGTTCTGTGCACAACTGTTTTGGTGCTTTGCCAAGCTCAAACTGCATTTCTAACTACCAGTCTCTGGAGGCTAACCATCCAACTGGATATACAGTTACATAGTTTTCTTATCTCTCCTTGATTTGTTTCTGTGTTGACCTTTCCTGCCATGGAGATAAATATGGGGGTGGAAGTGAGAAAGTGTCGATCTCTTCTCCTGGGTTTTTCTAAGATATTCACATAATCACCTTCTGACTTTGTGGCCTTAAGGAGTCACACATTGCACTGAAGGAGAGGGCTCCTCCACCTTCTCCTAGCCAGAGGAATTAACTCTTGATTTTCCTATTTATGAGATGCATGTGCACTTTTGAATGAGATGGTTTGTGTTTCGGCTGAAGTTAATTTTGTTGCTATCTTCTTACTGAGCTCCTGCCCTCATACACCAAATACTTCCGAAAGCCAAGCTGCTTGCCCATGTTTTTCCCCACTTTTTCACGGATTGTACTCTGCTGGAATCTAATGAGATTTATCCACTGTCTCAGGTCTCTTGAATGCAACCAGTAGTTTCATTATTGCTGTTGGTAGGCAGATACTTGACAAGAGGTTGCAATGCCTAGAACTCATTATTAATTTAAAGAAACA